TTGTGTTGGTTCATCCCTTCTTAGGATGCACATGAGCTGTTTCATGTCCTTACATCTTCTCTGGAAGAGGAGCGAGATCGTCAGCCCAAAGTCACAAATCTGTTTGATATGCACTCCCTTGAGGTAATTCATTTTTCTCGTGCATGCATTTTCTCTTGCATGTTGCATCCATTCCAATACACTCTGTAGAGTCTTCTAGAACAATGAAGCACAATTGTAATCTGGAGTTTGTAGGCCATAATAATCCAAAGATTGCCCCCTACACTCTAAAAATCTCAGTCGGTCTCTGTGCTGTTGAAGTATCAGAAATATGTGTCTAGTTATTCTTTGTGTGTGTGCTTATTTTATACCAGAGTCTCCCAGATCAAGATGAGAAAACTATGACATGCAGAAGTCGAGGTGAGAAGGAGTAAAAATCATAGAACCTAGATGATAAAACAAAGTTGTATTTCATTTGAGTGAAATTCTCATTTGGCAGCTCCCCTTCATCCAATACCAAGTCCGTGGAAGTTTCAGCATCCGTTTCATGGCCGGTTAACAAGCAACATGTTCTGCAAGCGCTGCGAGCTACAGGTGAGTTTTTTGTTTTGTCTTTTTGAGGAAAAAAAAAAAAGGAAAATTACTGTTTGTCTTCTTTCAGGATGTGATTTTATACCTCTGCTTTGCATTTTTAGAGTCCAGTGCGGTACGACTCGTTTGATAGTCTTTCCCTGTCCATTCCTTTACCTCAGTGGGTAAGTGAAAATGTATCTTGTGCTGTGTACACAACAGTATATTTCATGGTTGTTCTGTTTGTTATAATATGACTTGTGCTTGTTCTCAGGGGCGGCCGATCTCTCTAGATCAGTGTCTTCAGCACTTTATCTCTTCGGAAACCATCAAAGAAGTGGAGTGTGAAAACTGCACCAAGGTACACTGACTTCCATATCAGTGCCAAGCTAAACTGTGGCAATCCTCTCATTAAATGATTTACTCAGTGAAAGATTTGAAGTGGGGAGGTCGCCTGAAGAGGAACAAAAGGTCCAGTTGTTTCTTTCACAGGTGTATTTTTTGCAGATTTTATGTATAAATTTCAAGTTTTTGATCATTTTTCCTCAGCTTCAACAAGCAACCACAATAAATGGACCAGTTGTAGAAAGCCAAAGGACAACATTTGTTAAACAGCTAAAACTGGGGAAGGTAAGTAGTCTCTTTTGGTTAAGCATTAATAACCCAATTATATATTTTCCTTTTAGGAATTCTGTACATGGCAAATGCTAGTACTTATCCAGCTTGAGGTTGGAGGGTAAATGATTGGCAGTCTTTGTTAGCTCCCCCAGTGCCTTTGCATCCATTTGCAAAGATTGACATGGTCGAGTGAAGGAACCCCCATCAAACGACAGGAGCATGTGCAGTTTGCAGAGTATCTATCAATGGACCATTACAAACACAACACTTCCACACAGAGGAGTCAGCGGCTCAGATGCACTGCAAAATCCATAAAGGCTGAAAGCAGAGACGATTCAGTAGAAAAACCCTCTGCCAATGGCTCCGGTATGTTGGAGTTCTTGCATCTGTATTATTGTTGTTATTATTATTATTATTATTATTCAGTTTATTAGATTCATGCATTTATTGTATTTCGTGTTTCAGATTCAGAGCATCATAACAACAACAAACCTTTTTCTAATGGAACTTGTTCATCGGTCCTCCTTCACACTTCTGGTGTGAACCCACAGCTCAGCCTCGCATATGACTACAGGTAATCAATAAGGAACTCAAATATATCAGGGTATTCAGTGGTGATCTGGTAATTGAAATCCCTTTTTCCGCATTGGCAGAATTAGCAGATATCAATGTGTCTACAGATTTTTATTTTTTTCTAGTAGAGCTAAAACCAACACATATGGACAAAAGTACTGGGCCACCTACACATTACACCCACAGGAGCTGCTCAGCTGTGGAAACTCCTACCATGAAGCTCCCGGCAAACAGTTTTTGTGCTGATGTTAATGCCAGTGGAGGTTTGGAGCTGCCACTGTGGATTACATTTACACAGTATGCACTTTGCTGACTGACTCCGCTCTGTAATTTTATGTGGTCTGTCACTTTGTGGCTGTGTAGCTGTGGTTCTTGAGCACGTCCACTTTGCAATAATACCACTTTTGGTAGAATATCTAGAAGAAGTTTCACAAACTGACCTGTTGCAACAGCAGCATCCTATTACAGCTCTACCCTCGAGTTCAATGAGCTCTTTAGAACAACCCGTTCTTTCCCAAATGTTTGTAAAGGCAAACTGCATTGCTAGGTGATGGATGTTTGTAAATCTATGGCAATGGGATGGCAAACAGTTCAAAGATTAAGCGTAGTGGCCCAACACTTTTGTCTCTATAGCGTGTATTAAACTTAACAAGCCTTTCTACTGAAAGCTAAACTATCACGAAGCCGAAGTTTCATTGTTTAAACGCCAAGTAGGCTACCCAAAGGAAATCTACAGCTTCGTCTTAGACCTATTTTTGCTCTCATACACCTACACTAAGTACTATACAAGAAGAACCCAGTATCCCTTTATTATATTTAAACAACATCGATACCATTACCAGCATTTCTATTTAATAACATTCAAAGCAATAACTTTCATTGTTTCTGACATCCATTGTCTGTCACAACCTTATTAACGAACGCACCGGTGAAAATGAACCGAAACAAAGACTGCATCCAAAAATCGTGCATGCAGGTTGTTCCACACAGGGTCTAAGCGAGGACTGATCATAAACCACGTGTATTTGTCCCGTTCCTTCCAGTTCTACAGAGTACCTTTTCCAGCTCACGGCGGTGCTGGTTCACCACGGTGACATGCACTCAGGACATTTCGTCACCTACCGCCGCAGCCCCTCCTCATCTCGCAGCTCTTCGCCCTTCAGCTGCCAGTGGCTGTGGATGTCAGACGATTCGGTACGCAAAGCCAGCCTGCACGAGGTGCTGTCTTCCAACGCTTACATGCTCTTTTACGAGAGAGTTCGAAGGCTTGGCCTCTCTCTGCAGTCAGAGCAGTAACCAAAGGCTCGCAGCCTGAATGACTTCTGCCTTTCCAGTCACACTGTCACACTCGATGTGGCAGGGGACAGCACGGTTACCAACAGGTGGCTTTGTGAACATGACACCAGAGAAGAAAGCCATCCTAGAGTTGTCCTAGGGTGTAGTGTGATGTGTTGTGGACACTTTGCCTGCTGCTCTGCTCCAGAGGAGGAGCCTTTTAATCCCAAAGATAATAAAACTGCAGGATTTTTGTGTTAGCGTTTATCGGTAAGCTACTTTTTCTTTGACATGTAATAATTTATGTAACACCTCGACTTCTACCAGATAAAGAAAGAGGAACACAACATCAAAAACCACTGACAAGCAAAATGAGTAACGGTTGTCATCACTGGTGCAGTGATCTGCTGCAAAACCTATGGGTCATGGTATATGGATGCTACTTTGGTACACTCCACCCACCTAAAGACTGTTGCATCCCAAGCAATGGCACTCTGTGGCAGTATCCTCCTCCAGCAGCATATTTACCCCAAACCCCACCTCCTCGTGTGAGTGAGAGAGGGAGAGAGTGACTTGAATGTAAAGTGGTTTGAGTAGTCAGTAGGACTAGAAAAGCTCTAAATAAATGCAGTCCATTTACCATATTCCCAGCTTCCAAATTCCCCAAATCCTGATCTGATGGAGAGGCTTCATCCTGCAAGCAGATTAAACAAATGCCAAAATGATTTTGGTGACACCACAATATTAGACTGGTGGTTTTACTGTTGTGGCTTATTGGTGCAGTCTATGCCAAGATAATAACCCTACAAACTGCGGTTCACATTGAAAGCGTACAGTGTTTAGGCTGGCTCAAAAGTTGGCTAGAGGTGTGGCTTCTGGTGTTTAAATGTGAATACACCCTAGGCTGCTTCAAGGTGTTCCTATTATTTTGTCCATTGCCTTCAAGTGGCTCATTAGGACTTGTCAGTGATTATATTTAGGAGCTGTTGCATATTCTGAAAAGTCACAAAGGTGGAATTATCCTTGACTCCGGTTCTCTTTGTCAGATGTAGTTTGCCTAATCCTTCTCAGCAGTGTATGTAAACCCAGAGCAGTAATAATGTTTCTATTGACACGGTTTCTGTTTGATTATTTTTGCTGTTTCTAGTGAACCTAACTCTATCACGATTTATAAAACTGCACGTTTGTGGTTTAAGTGCCATATTGTCTTAAATGCCTGAGATTTTAAACACTTGGAACCATGAGTGCTACAATTAATGTGAACGGGGCCCTTCCTTGAAATGTGACACATCACAGCCAGTTGACATGCTGTGGGTGTTTTTAAACAGGTTAATAAGAGACGTGCCCTTAGTTAACATGACTGCAGATTTCTGTAGTCATCCTGTTTGTTTATAATTAATGTGTAACTTTTGACCAACAAGGTCAAAATGAGCAGTGATCTGTTGCAAAACTGCTTAATTTTTGCAGTTTGCACTACTGTATATTCATGTGAGATTGTATTTGTGTGCAGTCTGTAAGGTGATCGTTTTCAGGTATTAAAAGCATTAACAATGGTCTTTAGAGTGTTTTATTAAAGCAAGAACATTTTTTGGTACGTTTAAGAGATTGTTATGTTAATCACCCCATTATTTAAGTGTCTTTGAATGAAATACAGTTAATTTGAAAACTGCTCAATTTGCAAGAGGTTTAAAAGTATACTTGTTACTGGTATACCAAAGGCAGCAAATCTTTTATCTGATCAAATGTTCACCCTAATCAAACTGCTGATCTACTTGGGCCTTTCCCACACAATCATCTCTGAGGTTTACAGAGTGTGGTCTGAAAAGGAAAATACCCAGTGAGCTGCAGTTCTAAGTGCCAGAGTCAGAGAAGACTGTCCAGACTGCCTCCGGCTGATCTGAAAGCAACTGTAACTCAACCACTTGTTACAACCAAGGCATGCAGAAGAGCATCTCTGAATGCTGGAACTGCAAAGCAGATGGGCTACAGCAGCAGGAGACCACACTGGGTGCTAGTCCTTTCAGCTAACAATAGAAAATTGAGGCTACAATTGGTATAGTCTTACCAAAATTTGCCATCTAATGATTGTGGCAGCAATCTAATAGAGCACCTTTGGGATGTGGGGGCAAACAGAAAATTTGCATCATGAATCTAAAACAACTATAGGATGCTAACATGGACCAAAATACCTGGGGACTACTCTGAAGGTAAAAGGGGTCCAACCTAATAAATTGGCGAGTGTATATAACCTTGGAATCTGACAACTCTGGAACATAAAAAAAAGCTCCTGTATCAACAAATATTTCCATATCCAGGGAACAAACTGATGCTGAAGTCATGCACCCTCCTCTCATACCCATTTAAGCCCATTAAAGAGAAGTCTGATTAAAGCAGTCTACATTTGGACCAACCTGACAATCCACTAAGAAGTACATTTTCATTGTTTACATGCCTTTCCTTTAAATGCAACCCAGCGACCTTTTACTTTCCAGAGCTGCTAGAGTACAGCAGCACCAGTCCAATCAATGAGAACTAACAAGCTCACAAGTCAACTGTTTACATTTATTGATCTGAAGTCTTTGCCTTCTTTTCGAACAGAAACATGAATATGAGTTGAGCAAAGTTAAATGCTGATTCACTGAAAAAATTAAGAAAGTCTTCCTCCAGAGTGTCAAGTTGCTTAAATTGGAGCTGTGCTGTTAGTGGCTGTGCACATGGCCATGTCCCTAACTTACACCCGGCTTTGGCTTGGTCTCACGCTTGCTGTCCAGCAGAATGCGCCTGAATGTGAGGTTAATGCGAGGCAGGAGGATCTTCTTGCGGACAGGGAGGCTGTGGTACCAGAAGGTGTTGGTCGGCGGGTTCATGAGGAGCAGGCTTCCGTGAGCGAGCTCCAGCTTCACAGGTTCAATTTGTCGGCGGCTCTGCTTTCCTCGCGAGTCTCTGTGTTTGAAGAAGAAGTCCCGCGCTGCTCCCAGAGAGACCGACGCGATGGGACAGCCGGGGTCCAGCTCCTTCTCGTCGTCACGGTGCTCGCCCATGTGATCTTGTCCATCTTTGTACCTGATGGAGAAAAGTGTGTTGATCAGTAAAACCTCCAAATCTCAAAACTGTGACATTTACAGCTTGCATCAGTCATTTCTCACCTGTTGACCAAGACAAAGTTGAATGTCTGTCCTGTCGTTTTAGTGACAGTGTCTCGAATGTATTCCAAAGTTGGAGTCCATGGGCAGGCTATACGCCTCACCCCAGAATAAGTGTACGTTAGGCCTGCGTCTCCGTACGTGGCCTGCTTTCTCGGTATGTTGTACACCTTTCCATACACCTGGACCTTTGACTCTTCACCTGGAACAAGCGCAACAGTTAAAATGCACTGCAACTTCTGCTCATAACTTTAAAGAAAACAGGGTTGATGTACCTGTTGCATACACCACCTCCTCCTCCAGCTGTGTAAAAAGGCAGTCTGCCTCCTCTTTAGAGAAAAGCAGTGCATAATCACAGTCTAGTCCCTCTGCTTCTATTTTTTGCCAGGGAACAGGATTGGAGAACTCTGCAAAGGCTGCATCCTCATCATCTTCAGAGTCTTCCTCCTTTATTTTCTTGTCTCTTTCCTGTTTAATCTTTTTTCTCGGACTTCCTGCTGGAGTGTCACTGGTGCAGCGACGTTTGTTCCGATCCTGAATCACAAACTTTTCCATTGGTGGATTTTTAATACCTGAGTGATGGAAAGAGGAAACGTTAGCATTCCTCAAAGATTTTGGTCCATATTAACACGACAGCATCACACAGTTGCTGCAGTCTGGTGCACATCCATGATATGAATCTCCTGTTCCAACACATTCCAAAGGTGCTCTACTAGATTCAAATCTGATGACTGTGGAGACCATTTGAGTACAGTGAACTCATTGGCATGTTCAAGAAACCAGTTTGAGATTATCTTAGTTTTGTGGCATGGTGTGTTATCCTGCTTGAACCAGGCATCAGAAGATAGATTCACTGTTGGGACAGACATGGTCAGCAAAGCTGTGGGGTTTAAACAATGCTCAGTTAGTAGTAAGTGTGCCTGTGAGTGTACTAAGAGAATATCCTCCACAGCATTACACCACCTGCAGCCTGGACCTTTGATACAAAGCAGGACTGATCATTGCTTTCATGCTCTTTACTCCATATTCTGACCCTACCATCTGAATGTTGCAGCAGAAATCCAGACTTATCAGACCAGGCAGCGTTTTTCTAATGCTCTAATGATCTTTATCCAATTTTGGTGGCCACTGCATCCTCACTTGCTGTAGCCCGTTTGCGTCAAGCTTCAGCTATTGTGAGCAAGTGCTTATTTGACTTCCTGTAGCCTTCCTATGAGCTGGAAGTAGTCTGGTCATTGTCTTCTGACATCAACAAGGCATTCTCGTTCACTGAGCTTCTGCTCACTGGATATTTTTCTTTTCTTCAGACCATCCTCTGTAAACACTAAAGATGGGTGTGTGGTCAAATTCCAGCAAACCAGCAGTTTCTGAAATACTCAGAACAGCCTGTCTGTCACCAAAAACCATGCCACGTTCACCTTTCCCCCCACTATGGTGCTCAGTTTGGACTTCAACAGGTCTTCCTCGCTATGTCTGCATTTCTAAATGCACTAAAATTCTATTATGTGACGCAACTGGCCGACCTGCATTATGGGCAGTTGACCCGGTATACCTAACAAAGTGGCCGGTGAGTGCATGTTTAGTTTACCGGAAAGAAGAACAGCAGAAAATATGCTCAGTTATTTTGCATGAAAAATGACTCAAAACTGATTTAAATATGAGGCTTTCTGGTCATCATTACGTGGACGTTTTGTTTCGTTCAACAAACACCTTAAATAACAACAACAAAAAAATCCCTAAAAACGTCAGACAGACACTTTTTTTATTCATATAAATAGACGCTCATCCTTATGCTAGGTGCTGCACGCTTACTTTTAACAACATAAAACGCCAAACAGTAGTGTGTCTTGAACACCCCTCACCTCATTAACATATCTCTGTGCCGTCACTGTTTAGGCGCCAAATGTGTTATTCCCACTTGGGGAGATTTGGGTTTCGGAGCAGCAGACTGCTGTTTTATTCTCATTCCGGGTATTTTTTTTTTTAACTCTCTTGGTTTACAGCAGGTTACCACCGCAGTGTTTTAGACAAAATGATTGGACAGAAGACTATTAACTCATTTTTTTCGCCAGTTTCGAAGAAGAGGACTTCTACGGAGTTAATTGAATCCGAGGAGGATGCAAACGAGCCGGTGAGTGTCATTTCTTTTTTTAAAACAGTTTAAATTTTAAGAGTTAAATATGTACCTTATAAGTTTTATATTAGCTTGTTGGCATGTATTTAAAAAACTTACAGTGGAGTCATGAGCGTTTCAGACACTGGGAGATTTGTAGTTTCCCGCGACGCGTTCGCGTACTCCAAGCTGCGTTCAAAGCCACCGCTGTGTTGTTGGTGTTCAGCGTGACACTCGCAGCGCGACTATGATTCCACCGCTCTGTCGACACTTTCTGAAGCCGTTTAGACCCCCGGCTGTCCGCTTCTCACCAGTTCTATGTGTTTCTCAATACATTAAAATTATCCAGAAAAAGCAGAAGGGCTGTGGGGTGGAGACGGAGCAGAGCAGCCCACGCCCTGCCCCTCTGTCCCCGGAGCAGCTGGACAAGATCGCCCGCAACAAGAAAGCGGCGCTGGAGAGACTGTCTTCCGTTCAAACGCCACCAGGGTTCGGGGAGAGCTGGAGGAAGGCGCTGTCGGCTGAGTTTGGAAAGCCGTACTTCAAACAAGTGAGAAGAGGAGGAGACGGGATACTGCACACTGTGTCTCTGTTGTTTTGAACAGTTATAGTGACTTCACATCTCTCCCACAGCTGACGAGTTTTGTTTGTGAAGAGAGGAAACGCCACACAGTTTACCCACCTGCTGAACATGTATTTACCTGGACACAGATGTGTGACATCCGAGATGTAAGTGTGTAAACTGACAATCGATGCCATGTACAGATTGAGCTTCAGTGACACTGGTTGTTAGACGTAGACATAGACTTTGTTTCATCCAACAGTGGGGAAATTTACTTGTTACAGTTTTGTTTTTTTTGTGCTGTTATTATATTTGTAGATGTACATAAAGCGCAGTGGGAGTGATAATGATACACATGTATTTTTAGACGGTATTTATTCTGTGTGTATACTGTACAGTGCGACTGTTGTCGGGATGAAGGAACAGTCTGCTGCTCAGGGCCTCCACAGTCTTATGCACGGGGTGTGAGGTGTTGTCCATAATCGACATTAGTTTGGCTAACGTCCTCGTCTCACCCACTTCCCCTATGGGGTTTAGGGGACTATGCAGGACCAAGCCAACCCTCTCTGTGCTGCCATCTCCCCAGCAGACAACTGCATAAAAAATTTCCTGTGTGATGTATTATCTGAGGTGTCCTTTACTCTGTCACAGTCGCCTAACCCAAACGTGTGTCTACAATTCCAGGTAAAAGTGGTGATCCTTGGCCAGGATCCATATCACGGTCCTAACCAAGCTCATGGATTGTGCTTCAGTGTGAAGAGACCAGTGCCTCCTCCCCCCAGGTTTGAAGCCCTTCACTACCTCTGATGGGGGAAAAACACATATAAATGGCTTTCTTCATGCAATTTCTTCTTTCTTCTTCTGTGAATGAATAACTTTCATACCTGCTTGTTCCCTGTGTTGGAAATTTGTGAGTTAATTAAAATCAGTGCTGTTGAGTCAGATCCTTTTCATTTCCAGCTTGGAGAACATGTTCAAAGAGCTGAGCTCTGACATCAAAGGCTTCCAGCACCCGGGACATGGAGATCTGACTGGATGGGCCCAACAAGGTACTTGGAAAAAAACAAAAAAACAAAACCCATTTTATTAAATGTTTAATCATAGTTCCACAATAAGAGAGCTGCAACAAACCTGCTCTCCTCCTCCTTTTTTTTTTGACCTTGCTCACCAGGAGTGCTGTTGCTCAACGCTGTGCTGACTGTCCGAGCGCACCAGGCCAACTCCCACAAAGACCGAGGCTGGGAGGCATTCACTGACGCCGTGGTGCAGTGGCTCAGCAAAAACCTGGAGGGCCTCATCTTCATGCTGTGGGGATCATATGCTCAGAAGAAAGGAGCTGCTATAGACAGGGTCAGTTGTTTTAATTCAGGCTCATTCAGCTTAAGCTTTATAATGTGTTTTCATACTAAGTTTTCTCTCTGTGTGTTTATAGAAACGTCACCACGTCTTGCAGGCTGTTCATCCGTCTCCCCTGTCTGCTCATCGGGGTTTTTTTGGGTGCAGACACTTCTCAAAGGCCAACGAGCTGCTACAAAAATCTGGAAAGTCTCCCATTGACTGGAAAGCACTTTGAATTCTAGTTTTCTAGCATGTGTTCAACTACAGACCAAAACACCCATAAGCTTTCCTGCAACCTGTTTTTGCATCTTCTTAGTATTGGCAGCTTTTTCTGTATAGTTTTTTTGAAAGCCTTTTGGCTAAAGCTTACTGTTGAACTGCATATCTTTGTATGCACATAACAGTTTCCATGTTGTAAATATGTTTTGTACACTATTGCTCTTTTTAGGTTAAACAATAAAGTTCCTTTTTTGTTCTTACTTTTTTACATAAATGTTGGGTTAATTAAAGTGATTCCAAAAGGCAGAT